GGGCCTGCGGGCCTGGGGGACCCTGCGCCCCGGTCTCGTCCGCGCCGCGCGGGAGCGCACGGCTCACCCCTGACGCCCTGGCTGGGGCGGCTTCGCAGCTGGGCCGGAAACCCGAGCTCTAGCGTGGGGTGGGTGGGGGAGGACGCCGAAGAAACAGCTTTTCCGCCCTCTTAACATCAAACACAAGTGACTCCCCTCCGTTCTTTCGCATTTTCCCCACGGGGGTGATAGTGTCCCCTCCTGCTCCAAACTCGCGACCCTCGCTCCGCACTCCTAATGCAGGAGAGAGCTCTGTCCTTACTTAGGGGCTCTCTCCCCTGGCCCGGGCTTTGTGGAGGAAGGGGACTACCGCTGCCTGGCTGTGCGAACGCGTGCACGGAAAACGTCCTGTTGCAATGAAAGACAGCTCCTAGCTCCGAGCGCTTCGGTGCCTGCGATCACCAGGGAACTGGGAGCGCTGTCCGGGGCAGGAAGCTGAGGGGGGTGTGTGGAATGACTGCGCCCCCTGATTCCTCCCTGTTTCCTAGTACTACTAGCATGGTAAGCCTCCTTGGGAGCTTAGGAAAGGAGCTGAACTCTCCAAGGGGGCTTAAGGATAGTGTATCTCAAGCCCTCGATCCGTGTTTGTGAGAGCCTGCGGCGCAGCCTGTCCGCGTGCACACCAGGAACGGCGAGGCCGGGTTCCCCAGCCTCTCTAGAGACGTGCGTCCTTGCACCTGCGTCGGGCTTACTTCGTTTCTGTTGGAATGAATGATTAACGTCTGCTTTGTGTTAAACTTCTTGGTGAGGCCACAATGTTCTCCGAGGCTCTTAAGTGTTAGGGGAGAAAGAGAATGAAACGTTCGTGGGTGTTTAGTCCCCAGGGCCTGTCCAGATTTTTGAGATACTTGGTGCTCACAAGTGTGTGCTGACGGGCTCGCCAAATGAACGAATGAAGTGGAACAAAGCTGACCTTGTTGGCATACCCCAAATCAGTTACAGTCTTTCTCCTACTTGAAGGTCAGGGTCACACATTTCTGTATTCATTTCTTAATACCTGAAGTAGTGACAGTGTCGCCGATGTCCCTTTTCTCATTTGGAAAACAGGGAGGGGTGGTGTATCTTTCAGGAGGCGCAGCGTTCACCAGAGATGCAAATGGAATAACGGGTGAAAGGAATTCCTTTGGATGATCTTTTAAATATTTACCAAGACCTAATAGGTTTTGGCATTTTATGTTCTGGGCAAAAAGTGCTTTGGCCTCAAAACGGGAGGGAAATCCATCTTCAAGCTTTTAATCCACAGATTTCTGATTTTCAGGTCAAGATCAAGATCTTACTTTGTTCTCTTTCTAGGTTGCCAAACATTAGCTCACAGGGATTCGGCCCAGAGACCATGAAACGCGACTTTAAAAGCCCTGATGATGAGCAGTGTTTAACCCAGCTCTGAGGTGTTCTAAAAGGGAGGATCTCAAACGGTGCTCTAAGGGTCGTCTCCCATCATTTCTAGGACGGAAGAGGACTGAATTCCGTGATTTCTTCTCTTCCCTTCCAGCCACCCAAACACGTATATTTCATTGCCGAGAGCTGTTTCTTTATGCCCTTCTCTCCCTAAAGTGGCAGTTGTGGAAACAGGCAGCTCTGTGTGCTGGTGATTGTGTAACGTTTCAGCATAAAAGCACAATGTTCTAACGTTTCAGATGTTTGGAGTCGTGCCAGAGGCAGGGAGCTCTTCCCTGTTTTCCGTTATGAGCTAAAGCTCATGCTTGGCAAAATGGGATTCAGCGAGCTGGGCTTGTTACTGAGAGCATCACTGCGAAGGGATTCT